GACAAACAGTATTTTTAGAAGAAACATTAAGAGAAATAAAAGACATGTTCTTGTCTGTATAAACATAAAAGAGATAGACTAGGGTTCAGATTATAAGGAATATTAATCTCTAATGTGATTTTTTTAAAGGAATTAACTATTCATTTTTATTTAAGCTGACCCTTGATCATCTAAATACCTTCTATTACAACAAGCATTATGCATTGCTTTTACTATCCTGAAATAAAATCTAGAAATAACATAGCCCATCTACTATTGTAATGTACTAGTTAACATATAAAGAGAATAAAAGAAAAGAAACAAATAAAAATAATGTGCATATCAATATTTAAAGTGCTCAGAAAAATCTACATGAGAAGGCATAATATGGAAGTCAGATACTTGGGCCAGTGTACAGCATCACCACGAATTTGACAGCTACTAAGGCAGGTGTGTTCGTTGGCAACTCGGGTGCAGTGAACAGTGATGCCATGGGTGATGATATTTTCTCATGTGGTAAACCTCTCTTGGTAATATTCTGAACAACATAACATACAAAATCCCTTCAGTACATGATATTTGGATTCCTGGGAAATTCTGTGTATGTTAAAATCATGCCAAAAATACTTTGAGATTGTTTATTAAACAGATCTAAATTCTGAGCCCATCTAATTATAAATAAATTTTTCAGCTACATGTACATATAGCTGGTGGAATATTTAAAATGCATGTATGGTGCAGAACAATTCATAGTGCTGTACTGCCCTGCAAACTGCAGGATGTCCACCACTCCAGGCCTTCTCCCAATAAGTGCTAATGGCTCCTTCCAATCATCTTGACCACCAGAAACATCACTGCAAATTTCCAAAATGTCCCAGAGGGCACTACTGTGCCCATTGAAAACCACTGATTGAGACTGAGCAAAGCACTTTTTCATAATAAAGCACTAAGGTCCTGTACATTTTCTAGTAATACTGATTTGATTTTTATGGATTGGGAGACTAAAGAGCAAGCCTCCCAATCCAAAGGGTTAAAAAACCATTCCATGAGAACACGACAGGCATTTAAATATGAGAAAACCCTTTATTCCCTACATTCCCTACATCTCTGTATTAAGAAAGTGGTATTTGGCCCAACTGGCATGGCTCAGTGGTTGAGCATTGACTTATGAATCAGGAGATCACAGTTTAAGTCCCAGTCAGGGCACATGACCGGGCTACAGACTCACTTGAACCCTAGTGTGAGGAGTGCAGGAAGCAGCAAGTCAATTATTCTCTCTCATCATTGATGTTTCTATAACATCAGTGATTCCTTTCCCTTCTTCTCTGGAATCAATAAAAATATATTTTAAAAAAGAAAAGGAGCCGAAACCGGTTTGGCTCGGTGGATAGAGTGTCAGCCTGCGGACTGAAAGGTCCCATGTTCAATTCCTGTCAAGAGCATGTACCTTGGTTGCGGGCATATCCCCAGTAGGGGGTGTGCAGGAGGCAGCTGATCTATGTTTCTCTCTCATCGATGATTCTAACTATCTCTCTCCCTTCCTCTCTGTAAAAAAATCAATAAAATATATCTTACAAAAAGGAAATGGTGGTTGGAAAAGTGGAACGATTCCCAATCCCTAAAAAGAGGAGCTTTTGATCAGGGTAAAGCTGTGGTAGAGGAAACGCTGGGCCCTGACTATCAAAGTACGTCTGTCTCCTTTAAATAGCATGGTTAATGCTAAATGGACTAGTTTCCATGTTACTTATACATCATTGCAGCTTATTAATAAATGGCTGCTTTTTTTATTGGCCTAAACTTTTCTCTTTTTATCCTTTTATGAATAGATAATTTAATGGCTTGGTGTTGCAGTCCTAATGGGATAATTTCCTCTTAAGTGTTGTATGCTTTAAATACTAGAAAGCTGCTCTTGGAAGTTTCCATTCTAGGTAGGGAGATATGGGGGAGATAAGAGACCAACCAAAGGTTCTCTCCTAGGGCCAGCTCCCACAGCTAAGCATAACCAATGGACCAAAAACTCTGGGGAGGGAGGGCATGTATGGGAGTCGGGGGGAGGGGAGGGCAATGGTAAGATATGTACACATATAATACCTTAATTAAAAAAATGAAAAAATAAAATAAAATTAAAATGATGACATTTTCTATCAAAAAAAAAAAAATAGAAAGCAAGTTTCCATCCTCTAAGCATTGCCATATAAATTTGTAAATATTTTCATTGAACTTTGGTCTTAATTTTTTAACTGGTCTTAAAACATGTTCTTGAAATGTGTATATGCAGTTCCAGATGGACACACATTTACCTAACATAGAAATGCTGTTTTTAAATTATTAAAAATCTACTTTCAAAAACTTCAAAAAGAAAGCCATTGTTTCTATAAAATATTCCTTCATTTAGGGAGAATTCTCCCTCCCTCACGCCATTCTCTGTAATTCAGTTTCTAACCCACCTTGCTTATTACTTTTATTCTCAGCAATTTCCCTTCCTCTGACAGAGTACACATTCTCATTATTTATACTCTTAAATTACAAGAGTCAATGTCGAAAGCCAGTGCAGATACTTGGTTATCTCAGGGACTTTGGTCTTTTCAGCCAAGGACTAATCAAGCAGAGAGTAATCATAAGCTAAAACTAAAAAGCCTTTGTAGTGATTTTATCACCAGGGAAATTTGTTCATCCTTCAGAAAGATTGTCACTAGAAAAGAAAAAAATAAATAAAGGAGTTAAAATTGCTTCAGACCATTGACTCCGCAGGTCCCTCTAGATTCATAGACTGAATTGGTTTTCAGGGGGTGGAAGGAATTATGAGAAGAGCTCCCTGAGATAGCTTACAAATTGATCCTAGTCTTGGTAACACTAGTAAGTGTAAGTGTGATCACTATGGCGGAAATGCCAAATGAGCCTGGAAGCATGGGAAATGAGAAGGAAAAGAGACAATTAACACCTTTTTTTTTTTTCTTACTGTGTTTGGGGTTAGCCATGAAGTATGCATCTGAGAATAGACTTTCAAAAAGAAGAAATACAATTGGTTTTAAAATATTTTATCATCATTATAAGTGCAATTAGTAGTTATTATTGAATGAAACTAGAGATGCAAGCACTATAGAAATAGGGACAGGTATTTCATAAACCTTCCCAGGAACTAGGCCCCCTTCTAGATATACCCACAAAATATTATTTAAAGTTGATATTTCTGACCATGTGTAGAATTGCTCAGTTGGGTTCAGAAAATACAAATGCCTCCAAATTCAAAATTATAATTATAGACATCTGGATATTACATATACTTTAAAGAACTTGACATTTTACACACCTATTGATGCAGACAGGCATACGTGTACTTTCTTTCCCCAAGAATTATGTTAAGACTTGTCAAAATCCAGTCAGTCACTTTAGGATTTGCCAGAATATGCCTAACATGAGTAAGCACATAGAAAAATGATTTTTTTTTTTTGTCTGAATACAGTAGTGGTGGGAGATATCTCTCAAGGATATGGCTTCAATTCTGGATCCTCGTTTCAAATGCTGGCTTATGAGGTGGATCTGCAAAGAAGAGGACAGAGAGCATCCTTGTGAGGGAACCTATAGAGAGAGGGATTCTCTCCGAGGGCCAGCTCCCACAGCTAAGTCACATGCACAGATTGTAGCTTTCTGCTCTCTGGTCAACCGCAGCCATAGCATCCTTATTGTTGTAACTCTGAGATTGTGATACTGTCACAAAACTGTTGCTAGGCAACAAATGTGGTTACCAGGTCTCAGCAAATAGCTGAAGGGGAAAGCAAAGTGTTGCACCATTGTAGAGTAACCATAGCAATGACCTACTATTACAGACTAAAGAATTATCATTAACAATGTTAAAGTATCAGACAGAGGCCCTGAATCTGGAGACTTCCAGGCAGTATCTCTCTGCATAATTGAGTGATCTAGGAAGAGATTTCAACTGTCTTAAAGCTACTCATTCATTATTTCTATGGGAGAGTCTTACTATTAATATTATTTTTTATTTAAAAATTGTTCAGTTGTGAATCTACTGGTGAAATGATAGGAACTATCACAAGGAGTCAAAAACAGATTAATGACCTCACCTGTTATGTCTACATCTGTCATTGTTTGCTTGTTAAACTGTAGGTAGATTTGACTTGAAGACTATTGTACATTACTATTAAATTGAAGTCACAGAGAGAAGCTGGAATAAAATAAAATAACCCCATAAGTTGACAAGCATGTGTTTTGTAAGTTGGATTTCTCCTGGGGGGAGGAGGGGAGATCTAGATACTCTCTTAGTAGTCATTGCCTTGAAACATTATTTTTCATAGTTTTTCAAAAACTGTCCCCTTTAAAAAAAAAAAAGGTAGCCTTCTAGGACACTTCTAGGCAAAGGGTCTTTTGCATCTGGTCCTGCATTAAGCATCCCACACAATTTGGTCTAAGTGACCTGGCTGAGGCCAGCCTGACAGCACGCTTCCCGGAGAGGAAGGAAAAACCCGATTAGATTTTTTCTCGTGGAAAGCAGGGAAACCTGGGCGCCCCGGGGTGGGTGCCGAAGCCGGAGTCCACGCCCAGGGGAAGCCAATCCCGGCGCGCGCGGAGCCCGGGGAAGTGGCTGTTTGGAGGCCGGAGAGGGAGTGGCCCTCCGGCCGCGCGCGCCTCGACTGGCCCCGCGGGGCCGAGAGCCGGGGCGCCGGGCCGCGCCGGGGGCGGCCCGCGGGAGAGTCCGGGCCGCGGCCCGCGCCGGGGGCCCCCGGGGCCGAGGCCGGAGGCGCCGCCGGAGGTCTGGGACCGCCGCCCCGGGCGCCGCCTGGAGAGGACCGGACTCTGCAGACGCCAGCTCCCTCCCAGCCCGGGCCGAGCGGACCCGCAGGTAAAGGTGCGGGCTGGAGGGGCCGCGCCCGGGGGCCGGGCCTGGGGGGTAGGAGGGAGCAGCGGGTTCGGATGGGCTCCGGGCGGAGGACCCGCAGCCTGCGCCTCGGCGCAGAACGACGCCCCTCGTAACCGAGTCTGTGTTTTTTGTGTGTTTTTTGTAGGCACGGACCGTCACGAGCTCACTTCCTGGAAGAGCCTCCCGTCCATTTTCAGATTCTTCGCCGAAGCCTCGGAGGCCAAGAGCAGCTCCCCGAAGCCGGCGCTGACGCGGCGCTCGCACCGCATCAAGCACGAGGAGCTGTGAGCGCGGCGGCGGGCGGACGCCGGCGCCCACCCCCGGCCGGAGCGGGCGCCGGCCCCTCATTAGACTGTTTTCTTCCCGGAGCACGGGGTCGCGATATGTGCATCTAAGTAGCGTTTTGCATTATTTCTAGATGAGTGCAACTGTCAAAGCAATGTGGGTTCCCCGGCCGTGCTTCCTGCGGCCGCGCCGGGCTCCGCGCCGCCCGGCCGCGCGCGGATTGGGGCTGACAGCGCCCGCCCCGCGCCGCTAATTGCCGGCCCGGCCGCGGCTGCGGCGCCGGCGTCTGCGCGGTCCTCCCGCCCGCCGCTGCGCAGCCGCCGCGCCCTCCCCGCCCAGGCCAGCCCCCCTTAATCACGTTTATTATTATTATTTTTTCCCCCCTCTCTCCCAGCAGAAGCAAACTTTTATTCTAGACTTCAAACTTCCCTTTTCAGTAGGTTTTTTCACTGAGGGCGTCTTATGCCTTCCCTCCCCCCACCACCACCTCACACCCAGAAAAGCCAAATTTAAATTCAGAGCATGAATGCCATGATGTACTGTATGTAGTTTGGGGGAGCGCAAATTGTCCTCTCCCTAACGATCTATTTTCATTTCCAGACCAGAAGAAACACTTTGCATAAAATAAAATAAAAACTATGAAGTTCTGAATGCACATTACCGCTGAAAATCTTTGCCAGTTGAATATGACATTTTTTACACAAGTCTCTTATTTCACAAGAGATCACTTAAACCAAAACATAAGGAGGAACAAGTCTTTTAAATATATCTGTGAAGGCCCCCTTTTCAATGGAATTTCCAACTTTACCATTAGAATTGACTTTACTTTTTAAAAATATATGTATATTGAGTGGCATTGTAGTTTAGATAGCATACTTAAGTTTTGCTTTTTTTTTTTAATCTTAATGCGGATAAAGTTTGTTTTTGTTGTTAATCCTATCTAGTATGATCTATTCTGATCTTTCATGGAGTTAGACCCTTTTAGGGACAGAATTTTTACCGTAGTCAGGAAAATGTACCCGTGCACTCTTGAGCCTTTCCTTCTGGAAGGCTAAGTGGGCTAAAATGACTCTTAGTTTTCTGCTCCAACAGAAAGGGAAAGACCTGATGTGAAAGAGTTTCTCCTCTCAACCCAGTGATACAACTCTTAGCTGTCCACTTCCTCTGTAGGATTTTGCCCTACAGATTCAACTATTGACTATTTTAATCCAGCTAAGATCTGGCCAACACTGTGAAATATAAGAGGTAAAATAAGATTTTGCTGACTTTTACATTCAAATATTAAATCTTAACACTATCATTTTAATTACATGAAGAATTTAATTACCTAGTGAGGAATTGTTTTTAATAGATGAACATCTGAATTTAATCTTCATTTGTTTGTAAAGTGTATGCAACAATATGACTGCCTTACATGAGGACATGATAAAATATACCCAAATACTTAGAATTGTCCGCCTCCTCAGAAAAAAAAACAATTTAAAATAACCACCTCATGAATAAAATTATTTTATATTATGAACTGATTTCAGCAACATTTAAAATTGATAACATCTTTTTTTGCTATACAAGTATAGTTATTAGTTCCTGTAGTTTTAAGAATGGCAAATTAAGGTGATATTTTTCAGTGATCATATATGCATATATTTTGCGTGTTAGTTTAGCAGAAACAAATATGAAAAATCAATACATCATATTATCCAGCTTCTGGATAACTTAAAATGTGTAACTCCAACAATGTCAAGCACTTTGGTCTGCAGTCTTTTCTAGGTTAGAAGTAATGATGAACTGTATGAAAGAGTGGTAATTCCCATTAAGAGGATTTGAGAATTGATGTAGATTGAATATATTTTTCAAAGTGTTATAAATTGTGTTTTCAAAACATGAAAATATTCATGGGAAACTAATTCTGTTGTCTTTTTTTTTAATCAGCACTTATGCAATGCTAAATTTGTGATGCTTCTGCAGCTGAATTAGAGCAAAGTAAATATGCTCAGCTTATAAAACAAATCATTCCTGTTTCTTAGATTTTCTCACCTCTCTTCTTAAAACCTTTACTTTTAACTAGAGTAAATCACTGTTAAATTGCCTTTAATAGTTTAAAACTACTGGGTTGTTAGGCCTTATTTAACTATCCATAGAGCTGTTTGCAATCTTAAGCTGTGTAAATGTAGTTTCTACCTGTGAATCTGAGCTGTGGCCACCAGAAGAGAGCTAAGCAAACTATCCCAGACCTCCAACTGAGAACTGAGAAGGTTCTTTGCGATGTGGGCTTTTGTAACCTGTTGACTGTGGTTCTGCTGGTGTAAATGTAACAATACCTTCACCTCCATTTTCCTGGAGTAACGGTCATCAGTTAGTAGCAGTTCTTCTGCTTGGAGGTGACAAGTGTTAATATTTCTGTTCTGATCTCCCCAGTTTGGTTTCTTTAGACTGGGTTTGTTTTGTGTTGTTTTGGAGAGGTTTAAGTTAAAATTTGGATTTTCTTTTTAATTATATACTCCATTCTTAGAGCAAGTGGAATGGGGAGCAGAGTTGTTGATAAATCTGAGATTCAAAATCATCCTGTTAAAACTTAAAAAGCTAGATATTGCAATGCTTTGGAGCTTTCTAAAGGTACCTAACCAGGCAGCCATTAAAAGTTTTTATGATATTTGAAGGGGGTAGGGGGGAGTATACTTGTAATAATTGTTCTTTTATCAAGTTTCCACCTTGTGCTTCAACCTGGATTACATTATTGTGTATACCAAAAGTAAAGCACAGGAGTTTCCTATATATTATATATTTCTGTTTGTTTGCCATTTTAAAATAAAAACAATTTTCCCAACAAGCAGTGGTGTTATTCTTGTTCAAAAGTTCATTTATTCATGTATAGATGTTAATAAAAGCAGAAACTTGCATGATGGATACCATTCATCAATATTTTAATTCTTATAGCTGCTTAGTATTACTATTATTGTTGCTGCAATGTAATTTCCTAACTCTGGTTGAGTCACTATTTGGCTTGGACCTTTCACAAAGCTACCATTTTTTAATACATTTGTTTTTCAGTATCTAAAATATCTCCTTAGCTACAAAGAAATTTGAACCCATTTGTTAAACTATCATTTTATAAAATACACCTCAGTATACAGTAAACAACTATGTTTTCCAAAAGGAGTCTGGCGAGATTAAATTGTTCCCAAATCCCAATATAAATCCCTGAAAATACCTTATTTATATTTATTTTACAGCTTTTCCTTTTTCAAAACCTATAACTCCTTTGAGATAGTTGGGTGACAAAATATGTTAACTATATTATCAGTGCTAATAAATTAGTAGGGTTTGTTTTTTTTTTTCATGTTTCTTGGATTATCTGAGTTTCAATCCAAACATGTGTGCCTCCTCATCATAATCATTGTCTGTAATTGTAAGTTGGCAGGTTCATTCTGGTGTCTGTAATCCTGATTCATTAAGAAATACTACTTTACAGAAAGTCTAAAATTTTCTCCAAAACTTTCCCTATGCTGCTGTAGAGAAAGAAAAAAAAAGTCTTTAAATGTGAGATATTCTCATCTTTGAAATATGGGTGGCCAGAAAAGGGAGGGATAATGGTGGTGGTTATTTTATGATTACTTATCAGGGGCTGTAATAATATAAAATAAAAGACTCCAGGAGGTACTCCCTTTCAAAAATTGAATACTTACCTTCCTTCCTTGTATGGAGTGACCGAGTGGGAGTCTCTTGAATTGTTCGTCTTCCTTTTATCTAATATTCTATTAATCTCCAAAAAGATCAGTTTGAGTCTGGGAAAGGGTTTTTAATCAACACTTCACAGAGCTTAAAGCTACCCTACCTAAAGTGTCAGCTTTGTTAGACGGTTTTAGATTTAAAGCATTGCAACTGTCATGCACTGTACTAAAAGTAAAGAATGTACACCAAGTGGAAGATGTTGAAAAGAGGGAAATAGCACAAAGTCGATTAAGGGAGATTCAAGAATAGAAGTAACCATCAAAGCATTCCAGCACTTATCTCGAAATCTATGTAAGGTTATAAAAAAAAAAGCAACAATGATAGTTTTAAACCTCACACTTAGGAGGGATGAATGTTGATTTAATTGATTCATTTGGATCGATGTTTTTAAAGTTTCACATCACTGATCTTTCATGTAGTGATGTCTTTAGCAGTCAGTGGTCTGACATGAGCCTTCTCAGATTTCATCAGTGGGACTCTCCATGACATCTGAAATTATGCAACAGCCTATACGATGGTAACTTTGGAATTGGAAGACCTCAATGCCAAAGAGCATGGTTAGATTGAAGAACTCCTCTTGTTAATTCTTGGCACAAAGGTTTTAGAGGAGTAGTAATTGTAAATGAGCCATAAAGGTTAAGGACACCAAATATTATATAGTGGGCTTTAATTGCTAGGTAGGAGAAAATCATCCTCAAAGATTGACCATCAAGTGGATATCATGCAGTGACCAGAATTTCCCCCTTGAATAGAAAAAATCCTGAAAATAGAAATTTGACTTAATTCATGAGGCCTTCTAGGAAACTTTCCCCATCCCTTTGCCTTGAGATTTGTCAAAAACCTTTCACTATATTTTTGTATTGTTGGAGTTGAGTTCTATTTAAAACAGACACGAAACATGTTTCCAGGGGAAAAACTCAAAGGAGGCCCTGCATCTTTCTTTCTTGGCTATTACATCTGGTAATATGAGAGACTGTCATAGGTAAAATAATGTTAAACTGTACTTTGCAGCCAAACTGCAGTACCAATACAAAGAATCTGAAATGAAAAGACAACCAGTACCCTAAGAATGATATGTCTCTTTTAAAGTTTACAATTTGAATAATGAACTTGGATAGAAACTTGGCAGGAAAACAAATCATGGCACCATCACATCACCAACCATTTTCACTTTTCTGTCCAATTTCAGAGTGCATGTGTTTGTGAGTATTTCACTAGATCAGTGACAGCTCTTTATTTGCATAATTATATGCTCTGGTCTGAAGAGAAAA